AGACATTAACACCGTCGGATGACGACCCAGTGGTCCAGATGTTAGGCGATCGCGTGCAAGACACAAAGGTCCCGGGTTCAAATCCTGCGAGTAGCGAAAGCCGTAGATGCACACTCCCGATGAGTCCTATACCAGGACGAAACGGCCATCTAGTGCTTCCAGGATTTTGATGGAAATCTAACAATGATTGATTGATGATTTCAAATGTGTGGAGAAATTGATTACTTTGAAAGAGTTCTGAGAAATTACGCCGGGGAGATGAGCGGGAAAATCTGTTAATACCATTTGAATCGAAAAAAATATATATCTATTGTCATATTGACCACTTCTAATATTCACAGCTTCACACTTATATATATATATATATATATATATATATATATATATATATATATATATATATATCAGTCAGTCAGTCAGATACAACGTAGAACTTCGTACATGCGTACATAATTTCATGTTGCCATACCTCATTGGCACACAGAGACGCAATTGTCAGTTCAAATCCCATAGCGGTAAAGATTGTAGAAGTGTTAAAGGTAATGGAGAAGATATTATTCACGAAGTATAATTCAGTGAGACAAATTCATTCAGAAAAGATAGAGATGATGAGGAATTCGGAAGATTAGAAGTGTAGAGAACACAAAGAATGGATGCACCTGTGCCATTGCAAACGATTTTAAGCCATGTCATTCAAAGTCTCCAACCATCGGTTAGTATCGTCTGACTGACCCCAACTAGGTAGTCTACACACCTACCAACAAGGCTCAGTCCATATGTTAGTGACTTCACAGATTTCTGCCACCTTTTGGTATGGCCGCCCATATATATATATATATATATATATATATATATATATATATATATATATATATATATATATATATATATATATATATATATATATATATATATATATTTATAATATAGGCAATAGAAGTGACAAGTACTTTATGAAATAAAAAGAAGACAGAAGTTTGTAGTGGTGAGGATGATGGACTCTAGGAAAACGATTTTTTAAGAAAAAATCATGACCAAACTACCAAAAAGTTCAAACAATCCAATTTCACTGAAATCTTCAACTTCAGTAAAGTACAAATATTACAATGTGTGTTCACATCAACTGTACAATATAAAAAAGGCCACTGATCAATTGTTAAGTTTTAATTTAGAACTCTTAAAGAAATAGTAGTCAGACATTGTTGTAATCAGTAAGATATGTTCAGTAGACTTGAAACATAATGACAGTGAAGCTATTTATCAGGTAACGAGATAACAAGATCATTCAACCACATCATGAATTAACTCAAGGTCTGGATATTACTCATGGGATATAAAATCAATGGTTTAAAGTTAACACACCGACTTCAACAGCCGATGTCACAGATGCATGCTATTCAGGAGTACATTTTTACTTCTTATATACTATTAAGACGAAGCAACTGTTCAGTGATGTTTGAGAGGCATCGTTAGTGTTTCAAACTGTTTTCAGTCTGTGATAAAAATTTACTCCGTAGGGAAAAACACTAGGAAATTATTATTGATTAACAAATGTACAAACGGTATTTATGTTTCGCACTCAATAATTACTACACTATACTACTGAATACAAAGGGAAAGAACAAATAAACATGTGTGACTGATTAATGAGTGGCATTCACATCAACAATCAACACATGTAAACATACACATGACCATTATTAACAGAGATGAATAGTGGCTAGCAGCGGACTACAGGATGTGTATTTCATCTTATTTGGAACTAGGCTGCTGGATGCACCTTCATCCCAAAGTCGATAGTCACTCCAGAACTCGAACCCAGTACCTTTCGATCCAAGCGACCTTGCGTCATACACTAAACTACTGAGTTCACATAGACACCGGTTTGTGTACTGGGGTCAAGAATAACTGATTTGCATTGGTTGTTTGAAACTTCCCATTGAGGTTTAATAATGCGATTGATGAGTCTCTTTGGCATACATATACATCCTGTGTGAATTACCTTGATAATGATATTAAGTTACAAGCATGGGTCCGAGTCTAAGGGTGAATATTAACTCAAAGATATAGATATGTCAAGCTGAAAAGTCCTAAATGGGACGAAATGCACGTCCTGGATCCCACTGCCAGCTACTATCCATATCTGCTCATAATCAGTCAGTCAGATGCAACGTAGAACTTCCTACGTAAGTACATCAGTTCATGTTGCCATACCACATTAGCACACACAGAGATATAATTGTCAATTCAAATCTAATAGTGGTAGAGGTAGTAAAGGTATTAGAAGTAATCGGAGAGGTGAGGATTTGAAGATATTATTCAAGAAGTATGACGCAGTGAGATAAGTTTAGAAAGACAAAACTAGAGGTGTTGAAGAATACAGAAGATTAGGATTTGAAAGAACACAGAGAATAAATGCATGGGCGCTATTGCAAACGATTTTGAGCCATGTCATTCAAGGTCTCTAACTATCGATTACTATCATCTCGCGGACCCCAACCAGGTAGTCGACAACTACCAACATGACTCAGTCCACTTGCCAATGATTTCATGGATTTCTGTCATGTTTTGGTTTGGCCGCCCCTAACTTTCTTCCAGCTTACTCCTACACTACAAAACACAGCTAGTCGAGGCAGTTGGTGGTTAGGCATACGCAACACATGTCCCAACCACCTCAACTGATGAAGTTTCATTACTTCATCTATTGATTAGCCATTCTTACCTAGCACCCGTTTCCTAATAACAGCGTTGCTCACTCTAGTGTCCCAAGATATACGAGCAATGCTTCGAAGACACCTATGATCTGCTTATAACAATACTTGTGATCCAATGATCACATCGAAGCAATCTGCACAGGATGCAGAGACGCCAAACGCGACAGAATAACTGCAGTTCTAAATATCTCAATGGGGAGATTTTTTTTAAAAAAACCAATACAAACGAATGTATGTGTTCATTTTAGAAATTAAAAAAAGGTTTTCAATTTACTTTACACTATAAGAACCATATTACATAAAAACAACATCACATTTCATCAATCAGTAAAATCACTTACTAACTACTGAATTGAGTGGGCCCAAAGAAAATTTATGATTAATTATTTGCCTAGATAGATGAATGACTAATAGACAATCAACCAGGGGTATTCAAGATGTTTTCCTGCCTTTTGTATTAAACTGTTGGTTGTTGAGTAGTGACTAATGTACTAAATACATTGTGGCCAGGCTAATCATGTGTTGTATTGATGTCTAGGAGGATGGGCGTTAGTTGGATAATCTAGTGAGAAGAGAGAGAAATTCGGGAGAGTTATATAACTACTACTACTACTAAGTGTATGTGCATACTACTCATTGTATATTGATGACATAACAAAAGCCAACAACAAACAAGTGTTTATGTGAACACACAAGGATTATGAGATGGTGGAGAAAATTTGTAGCTTAGGTGGATGATTGTGGCGGAGTTTCGTTCTCTGAGCTGGATATTTTGGTTGTGAAGCTTTCTTCTAAACATCATCATCAGTACAAACTTCAGGTCGAAGAAGTGAAGTATTCGAATTTACCCATGTTTCAGCCTTAGCTTGTTCTGCTAACCTCGATCTTGATTGGTTGCTGTTGAACTTAAATCTCTAGTGTTCTTTGCCATCCCCCTATCCAGTATTTCTAAATTGTTCCAATCGAATGTATGTCCATAATTGTCGCGAACTTTTAGAAGTTTGGCACTGAAGTCAATCAGCAACCAACAAACATATCGACATTGACACAAATTATCAACCAATCAGAAAAATCATAGACAAACATAGGATCAAGAAACAGATCAAAAGGGGAATACAATCAAAACAGGTGCAAACAAGGACAGATTTTAAGGTCAACAGCAACCAATCAAGATCGAGGTTAACAGAACAAGCTAAAGGTCAAACGTGGAGAAATTCGAAGGCTTCACTTCTTCTACTTGAAGTTTGTGCTGATGATGTTGTGTTCAGAAGAAGAACGATGAAAGCTCCACAACCAAAACATCCAGCCCAGAGAAGAAAACACCACAACACAATGATTACAAACGAAACAAACATCTATGCTACGAGTATGATAGTGTTAGCTGCGCTTGGACCCCTTTTAGGATTACAGCAGGTCCCAAGTCCGGATAAAGGAGAAGGGTTAAGTGCGGGGTTAGCGACCCCATCTTGTAGAAATCCAACTGGCTGTAAAAACACTGACGAGGAAAAATAATCCACTGGTGTATGGCCTATGCTCTATTAGGGGTAAAAGGCTTAAGTAAGTAAGTAATGACAGTGTTGTTTTAATTTTTGTTACATTCTACTGAAGAATAACATCACTATATGTGATTAAATTATGAGGAACAAATTATAATATATGACAGTACAGTCAATTATCGAGTGTTTTGTTCAACTGTTCAAATTGATGTTGGGTGGCTAAACAACTCTTTCAGCAGTCAGTCAGTCAGTGAAGTTCAACCTGTTCGGGTGTAGACAGTAAATACCAAAGACTGTGTACGAGGTTGCGGAACTCTGTGAATTGATCAAGTTACACATTAACACCGTTAGATACCGGTTCAGTGGTTCAGAGTTTAAGCGTTCACGCACAAGACCGAAGGTCCTGGTTTCGAGTTCTGCAGGGGGTAGGAGTCGTAGATGCTTACGGATGAAGAGTCCCATATTAGGAAGAAACGGCCGTCATCCAGTGCTTCCAGGTTTCTAATGGTGGTCTAACATCGACCGATTCATGGCTTCAAAAAGTGTGTAACTTAACAATCTTCACAACTCCGTAATGTAATCAAACAGACACACACTGTCTCTGCGTGTGTGTGTGCCTCTTTTCGACTCACTATAAATACACACATGTGATATGTTGTCAGAATTTTTAAAAAATAGGTAAGTAGACAGATATTGAGAGAGAAAAAGAAGTACTTTCTTTTCAATAAATAAAATGATTTATTTAATTTTTTTTCTCATAATTTTATACAAAATAAGAAAATTTCTCAAGCGAAAACATGTAGATATCTTGGTGAGAATTCATTTACAATAGTTCATACAGACAAACCAGGACGCATTGATGATGTTGATGATGATGACGAGCAACGGTTAACTGTACATCATGACGAAGACGAGAATGTTGTTGACGTTATCGATGGCGGTGCCGGTGGTGTAGATGAGGATGAGACTGACGGGGATAAATGCAGATTCGATGATAAAATTTCATTTAAGATTGGAATAGTTGAATTGTCTGATATCTTCGGCAATGACGATGTGTACTAAAAGTCAGAATAAGACAATGAAATATGTATGATACAGAAAATGCATAAAAATTACTGGTTAGTAACAGCAGCGATACATTTATTGTCTGTATAAAGTTGTGGAGATTGTTGAGTCACATTGAAAAATCAAGAATCTGCAGTGCCTTCACATATATTCAAGTTCGATTACATTTAATTTGCTTAAGCCCTTTCGATTAATTTATTAAACTAACCAAGCCATTTGTATTGAAACAATTTATATGTTGTACCATTCGTTCTTATTATTGTCTGGTTTGTGTGATGAGCTCACATGACGTGCTCCACTTGTCATTTGACCTTGTCAACACTATTCGTCGCTTTCATTCATGTGTGTGCATGCCTATCTCGTTGATCACATGTCTGTCTTATTCTTGTCTGACTATATATTCTTAGTCATGCTCTATCTCTTTGAGTTGGCTGACTAGCCTTCTCCAACGCGCTTCGTCTGTTCATTCGCTTCCTTCGCCCATTCGTTCGCATTGTAATCCTGGGAGTTAGCTCATTAGTCTTCTCCACATAGATTCATCCGTTCATTCGCCTATTCACTCACTTGCCTGCTTTTCGGCGCTCACATGACGATTTTATCTTATAGCACATGTTCATACGATTCGCTTCAGTCGCTCGCCAGTGTACACACAAATGATGAGCCCGCCGTTAAATCTAACGTACTTATCACAAATCTGCCGACGTTTCCAGGATTAATTTGACAATGCCGGCGACAAATCGAATACAACCAACCAGTTGGTAATCTCGAGGACAAATTGAACAGAACCACTAACCAGGAATCCCGACGCCGTACATCAATAAAGCAGCTCAGGAACTTAGTGAATTCGCCGAACGAATCAACGAACCAGACAATAATAAGAACGAATGGTACATGTAAATTGTTGCAATACAAATGGCTTGGTTAAATAAATTAATCGAAAGGGCTTAACCAAGTTAGATGTAAGCGAACTGGAATATATATGGAGGCACTACAAATCAATCAATGTCAGGCCGCTATTAGTAGCCTAGAAGCACTGGATAGCAGCTTCGTTCTAATATGGGACATTTCAGCAGTGCATATCCATGAGCTTGCAAGCAACGACTGAACTCGGGACCTTCCGGTCTCGTACATGAATTAATTATCGTGTAATAAGTTTATGTAATAGCCGTTCTCACTTTATAAACGGTACATATTGCCATCTAAGTTTACGTATCACAAAGACAGGTATTTCATCCTAACACGAGAGTGAGTATCTAAGAACTTATGCTAACAGGA